TGAGCTCGCACGCCTCAGCTAACGCCTGCGTGCTGCAAACTACAGAGCCCACGCGCTCCGGAACCCGCGTGCCACAACTACAGAGCCCATGCACCCTGGAGCTTGCATGCCACAACTAGAGAAGCCCGCACGCCACAAGGAAAGATCCCACGTGCCGCAACTAAGACTCAACACAGCCAAAAATAAGTAAAATAAATAATAAATTAAAAAATAAAATAAAACAAAATAAAATAAAATCTCCCTGACAAATTGAGGCCTGCCTTATACTTGGGTATAAATGGTGTTTTATCTATTCTTGGTGCCTGCCTTCATCTGTAAACTAGTCATGGTAGTTTTATGTAGGTGCCATAACGTGGGAACAAGATTTAAAAATCTAGCCTACTGCCTGGCTTACATGCAACGCACTCCTCAAACGTGAGCTGTCCTCTGTCCACCATTCCAGTTCCTACAAAAAGTCCAATGGAAGATGGAGGCCAGACGGTGAACTTGACAGTATAAGTGGATGAGGGCATGTTAAGCCTGCACTTTTGTGAGGCAGATGAAGAAACGGGGCTTCCGCAACAGGTAGAAGAATGGAGTACCAAGGGACATCCTGCTTAGCTCTTAAAAAAAGACATTTTTAAACTGGTTACAAGTGTGATAAAATGACCACCATTATTAGTTTGGGGTCTCTTTATCCTACAGATTTTCTTCAGTGCATTTTTCTATTCTTTCCACAAATAGGATCAGGCTATATGTGTTGTTTTGCCTTTTTTTCCCCAAGTAAAATCAGCTTTAGTTTTCTCACCTAACTTTTAAAAAATAGTGATAAAATACTCACAATATAAAATTTACCATTTTAACTATTTTGGGGTGTACAGTTCTGTGGCATGAAGTACAGTCACACTGTTGTGCAATAATCACCACTATCTCCAGAACTTTTTCATCATCTCAAACTGCAAATATACACATTAAATAATAAATCCCCACTCTCCCTACTCCCCAGCCCCTGGTAACCACCATTCAACTTGCTGTCTCTAATTTGAGTACTCCAGTTTCCCATATAAGTAGAATCATTCAATAGTTGTCCTCTGTTTTGCCATTTCTCCCCCAACTAAACTATATGACTTAGACATCTTGCTACATTTGTCTATATATGAGCCTTTTTAAAGGCTGTATAATAGTCACACAAAATCATAATGTATTTATCGACTTCCCTACTGATACTATTTCCAACTTTTTTCTTACCATAATAATGCAGTGAGCATCCTAGTATCTGTCTTTGCACACATGTGAAGTATTTCTGTACGAAAAAGTCCTAGAAGTAGAATTGCTGGGAGCATAGATTTTAAAAGATCGCACCCATTGTTTCACTCTGACCCAACCTATAAAGTATGTGAGCCACTGGATTCTGGAGTATGGTGGAGACATTTTACGTTAGGAAAATTAACCAGGCAGAGAGACAAGGAAAAACCTGGCTTCAGAAAGGCTCTGACTTCAACTGCTGGGCAGGGGGTGGTGGGAAAACGTCCTGACAGCCCTCAGGTTCTAGGGTCACCAAGACAACAGGACTGCTATCTCCAGACACCTGTCTCGGACCTCTTTAATGTAACCTCCCCTACTCAGTGGCATACATGTGCCCACAGGGTCTCCTGTCTTCTCCACTGCACCCACAGAGCCAGCTGCCCTGCCCAGCCTACACAGAACAACCAAGGAAGGAGGGGGAGAAGGTAAAGAAGCAGGACTTGATAGATGTCCTTAACCCTTGAGGGAGCAACAGACCCCCTAGAGAATCTGAGACAACTGTGGGACTCTCCTGAAAATTCACAGCCTCACTGAACTCTGCATACAATTTGTGGAGTGCGCAACTATGGACCCTATCTTCAGAATCCCTGATTCAGGGAATCAAATTAGAGGGATGAGTCAGATACTGAGTCTTCACAAGTCAGAACAAGGATGCTTTGTTCATGAAGTCAGAAACAGCTGAGAAGATAGTGAGTTGAGCTGCAGACACTTAAATATAAGGGATAATCAAGCAATCAAGAAGAAATGTACAGCAGACAGCTGGAAGCAGTGGGCGTGAAGCTTGAGTGAACTTAACTTGAAAACAGATTTGGGAATTACCTACAAAGGGAAGGCAGAAGGCACCCCAAGAGTAATGTGCAAAGAAAGAAGAGCACTGGGTCGAGGCCCCCATAATTGTGAACAGCCTGTGAGCAGAGGGTGCAACGTCAGTGTGAGAGAAGGAGGTCTGTAAAGAGACAAGGAGCAAAACATCTTCATCCTCCTGGAGGCCAAGGGTAAGAATCTCCTCTCTGTTCCACATGGAAAATCTGGACCACATGACACAGAGGGAGGAGGAGGGTCTTGCACTGTGTGGCCCTATAGGTCCCTGACAGCCCTCAGAGTTCACGGTTTGGGGCTCACTTTTGAATGAGCCTTGGCAGTTCCAACACAACTTCTTCACTGAAAAGATATACAGGTGTGACTCCTTCAAAGCCAGCCACCAGAGTCAAAAGGTCTCAAACACACTGTGTGATGAGCAAAAGCCAGCATATGGGAACCCCTACAGGATAAATGACAGTTGTTTGAACAGATAAATTACAAAACAGAGTAAGCACATATAAATTTAAGAGACAATAGAGACACTTCAATCAAATGCCATATGCAGACTTTATCTGGATCCCAGTTTGAACAAACAACTATAAAAAAATAATGAGACAATCAGGGACATTTAACCATGACTGAATATTTGAAAAAAAAATTAAGGAATTATCATTGTATTTTAGGCATAATAATGGTGTAAAAACCATGGGTAGCTCCTTGTCTTAGAGATACACTAATAATGTATAATGAAATACTTTTGGATAATATACACTTTGGGGATAGGTTTCCTAAAAAATTCAGCTTTTTTTTTTTTTTAAAGGGGAGGGGAGGAAGGCAGAGTGTAAATGAAACAACATTGGCTAGGAGTTGGTAACTGCAGAAGCTGGTGATGGATGGATGGTTGACAAACCCAAACCAAGTACCCATCATTTTAGGAGACTCTTTTCGTTCAAATTCTGAGGTAAACGCTAAATTCAATTTTGGGGGAAAAGGCCCCTTCCTTGCTACCAGAATATATTACAAAACACTAGTATTACTTATTACTTTTATTACTTGGTATGCAAATAGGCAAAAATATAATTTAAAAAACAAAAACATGCTTTAAAATGTAATCACATGAAAGCAATCATCTACTACACAAAAATGTGTTCAATTTGTCTAAGGTGATTACCCCATTAGGTAAAACAACGTCTCTTAAAGGAAAAATTCTTCCCCAGTGCATCCTCTTTATGAACCAAACAATGGAAATTTTTCACCTCAGCAAGCTGGCCTCAGGGAGGCTCATCCCTGTTGCCTAGATAAGGGTGATATCTCCCTCCGGTGCTTACGGAAGGCTCTGGCACCCCTTGCACCCCTCTGCAAAGAAGACTGTTTAAGGTTCATCAGTCAGTAGTTGTGCCTTCCTCACACATTCCACTGCTCAGACAGATATGGGGTTGGTATACCATGTACTTGTCTGTCACCTGCGAAGCCTTGAAACAAAAAGAAGTCTATTACATTTGCTAAACTGGTTTTTACAATTGTATCAACTCCAGTCCTAGCTCTCATCCACCTGATTTCTAACAATTCCTGAGAATTCTATTCTAAAGTCACAAAGCAGGTCAACCAACTTGAGTAACAGTTAACCGTTCAACTGACTTTTGCCTCCAGAAAAAGTTACTAAGTGATCCACTCACTGGCCTATTATGTCAATATGATAAAGTATTCATTTTGCTCAGTTTCTAATTCTGGCAGTGGTTAAAGTTAAAACAATAATAATACTGCCCTGAAACTTACACCAGATTACAGGATGCAATTACACAAACTCCACAGCAGCAATCTATGTAAGTAAGCATTTTAGTTCACTTAAAATGTTACCCTGCTAAAAATGCAAATACAGCAAATAATTAAATACTAGAATTCATCAAAACTACTGTAATCATGGCGCTTTATACAAAGTATCATAAAACTTGTGATCTGCAACATTTCTGTTACCATTTTTTAGAAGTTTCAGTACTTAAAAATATTTTTTCAGATGATTTTATCTTATTCTTGTTCTATGTACATTTTGTTACCAAAATGCTTCATTCCAATCAGTGATTAGTTTTATTTCCCCGGTATTTAAGAGCACTAGATTTTACTGGTTTTTACATTTTCTTTTCACAACATTCGGACTCATTTTTCTGCAATTCGGCTTTAATATATGAAACTGAATAAAAGCCAAAAAATGGAACAAATCATTAGGACGCAAAAGACAAAAAACAGTCTGTAATCCAACGTGAACGAAATGAAAGCTCCATCCATGGTGAAGCTTATCACTATTAAGAAGACGTCCCTGGATCCATTTTAGGACTTTTTGGGATAAGAAGGTTAGGTGTGCAGACTCCCCCACCAGACACTAGCTGACAAGCCCAACTGACATTCAACACTCAAAATGGCTGCACATCTGCCGGCCGCAGGTAACCGTACCTGAGGCGTTGGGCTGACTTCTCCAGCTAAAGACTCAAGGAGACCCCCGTCAATAACCCGGAAGATCGTGGACACCAATGTCCTGGGGAGACCCCCTCAATGACCCTGGAGATCTTACCCTCCCCAATGACTGGAGACTTCAATGACAGGGGGAGATCCCGCGCCACCAAAATATCCGGGAGACCCCCCCCCAATGACCAGGGAAGATTCTGCCCGTCAAAACCAGGGGAAATCGTCTCTCCCCAATAACCTGAAGAAATAATGCCTCTCTCAAATGACCCGGGGAAATCTGGCCAGACAAGGACCCTGAGAGATCTCTCCTACTCCCATCATCGCGGGAGAGCCCCTCCCAAAAAACCCGGGAACACCCCTAATGACCAGAGACCTCGCTCCCCGACGACCTGGAGAAACCCTCCTCCAAAGCCCCTGGGGCGGCAGAGCAGTAGGCCGAGCAGACCTGGCGTTACCTGCTACCTCAGCCGGTCCCGCAGAGCTTCCGTCCTATTGTTTCTCTCCCACCAAGATGGCGGCCGCTGCGGCGAGCCCCGCCCCCCGCGCCTCACTCCCGGAGCCCCTCACTATTGGCTCGCACCGGGAGCCCAGCTCGCGGACTGGGCGGCCCAAAAAGCGCTGTTGCTAGGGCGCCCGGATTCGTTGTAGTGGCTTCCGGAAGGGGCGGTGCATGGGGCGGGGTTAGAGAGAGGGGTGGAGTCTTGTCTGCCTCCAAGGGAGAGAGTGGCCAAGGAAGTCAGGTTGGGTGGACAGGTGGGCTTCGAGCCTAGGGGTGCAATACGGGATGCCAGGGGTACAGGTGGGTCAGCCAACTGTACCATTTTTCCTGGGCCCCAGCGGTTTCCTGGAGTGCAGGACTTTCAATATTAACATTGAGACAGTCTGCAGCAATCTGGGAAGTTGGTCACCCTAGCAGATGGATGGACAGAGGACCTGATGTGGCTGGACGGAAAGATGGACAAAAGAGTGGCTCTAGACGGTGGATAAAGGGCGGTTGTATGCACAGGTGGACAGATGACTGGATGTAGATGGATGGACAAATGACTAGATATAGAGGGGTGAACAGAGGAGTGGCTGTGTAGTCCTTTGTGGACTGGTGGGTGACCCAGTGTCCAACCCAGGTTCCACCAAGCTCCACACTACAGAGCTTGTCTGAAGCTCGTTTGTCCTGGGCCCTGTGTTAGCCAGAAGGTCTTCCACCTCAGTTAATATCATTGTGGCTGGCAAAAGCAAGGGAGGATGGGGATGCTACTGAGAGTGGGTAGAGCCTCCTACCTGTTCTCTGCTCTTTTAAAAAATCCCTGTGTGCTGGCTGTTTGCAGAGGTGTGGATTCATGCATATACTCATTCATTCAACAACTATTTATGGAGCATCTACGCTCTGTGCTGGAAATACAGCAGTGAACAAAAACAGTAGGAGGGGCTTCCCCGGTGGCGCAGTGGTTGAGAGTCCGCCTGCCGTTGCAGGGGACACGGGTTCGTGCCCCGGTCCGGGAGGATCCCACGTGCAGTGGAGCGGCTGGGCCCGTGAGCCGTGGCCGCTGGGCCTGCGTGTCCGGAGCCTGTGCTCCGCAGCGGGAGAGGCCACGGCGGTGAGAGGCCCGCGTACCACCAAAAAAAAAACACAAAAAACAGTAGGGGAAAAAAAAAAGCCTGCCCTTACGAGGATAGGCAGGAAAGATTTCCTGTGACCAGCTGATCTCTCCTCTCTTGGAAGCACAATCCCTGTGTGGCTTCCAGGGCCCCATGCCCTCCTGGTTTCCTCTGACCTCACTGGTTCCTCCTCTTCACCTTTTCTCTGTCTACACTATTGCTCTCATAATCTTACCCAGGTTCATGGCTTCAAATTCCACTTACATGTCTATCACTCCCAAAGGTGTATGTCCAGTCAGACCTTTTCTGAGTGCCAGACTCAATGTCCAGCTATGGACTAGGCACCTGCACTCTGACTTCCTCTTGGCACCTCAAACTCAACTTGTGCCACCCTAGCTCCAGCTCATCCCCCAAACCTACTCCACCCCAACTCCCCCAGCTCAAGTGATGGCAGCTCAGTCCTTCCTACTGTTCAGGCCAAACACCTCAGACTTTGTCTTGACTACTTTCTTTCCCACTTACATTCAATGCATCAGGAAGTCCCGTTGCTTCCATTGCATCATCTACCCAGAATGAGACCACTTCTTGCCAGGTCCATGGCTTCCACCTAGTCCAAGCCACCACCATCTCTCCCCAGGACAATGTCACAGCCACATCCCAGTCTTTTGCTGCTGCCCTTTCCACCTTCAGTCAGTTCTCCACACATCAGCCTATGAATACATGAGTCAGAACCTCTCATACCCAACTCGGAACCCTGCAGTAGCAACTCCCCCAAAGGAAAGCCAGAGCTGGCAAGGGCTCCATTATTCCCCATCACCTCTCTGCCTGCATCTCCTTTGTTCACCTTTAGAAGCACTGCTCATCTCCTAAAGCTCCTCATGTGTCACACTCTGTGCACTCTCATGTCTCAAGTGGAAATCTCTTTTGCTCATGGATGTATCCTGACCACCTCAAACACCAAGTAAGCTCCAGAAATACCTGTTGACTGGACTAAATAAAAAGAATGCCATGTGGTATTAAGTGATAAAAAATAAAATGGGGCAGTGGGATGCTGTGGCAGGATGAGAGTACCCCAGACCAAGGCTAGCCCTGGGTCAGGCCAAGAAGGCCCCCCACACCCAGTGGAATTACACCCAGCCCAGCTCCTGCTCCTGTTCCCTGTCTGTGGCTTCAGGACCTGCAGTGGCTGCTGTAGCTACAGAATAAAAGCCCAACAGACACCAGTCATTCAGGCCTTCACAAACAGGCATAGCCCCTTCCTCTGCCCACCCAGTCTCCCATTCCAGTGTTCCCATGGGTGGGGAGGAAACTGGACAGGGCAAGGTCTCCCTGGGGGCAGTCCCAGTCTTAATTCACTCTTCCATTCCTTCCATAAGTGCTTAGCCAGGGCTTACTGGGGCTAGATACTGGGTACATGGCAAGAATGGACACAGCAAGAATTCAAATGATTTACAGAGTCCTTACCATCCAGCAGGGAGTGGATGGGGGAGCATGTGAAGGATGAATACAGCAAATAACTAATTATGGTCAGAGTGAATACAGTGGAGGAAAGGAACCAAGCTGATGTACAGAGTATGGTGTTTATGTCTAAGGCGGCAGGAAAGGTGAATCTGAGAAGTGGACATCAGAGCTAAGATCAACCAAAGGCATGACTGATCAGGGAAGGATCTAAGAGAAGTCATTCCTGGCAGAAAGCATAGCAAGTGCAAAGACCCCAAGGAAAGCACAATTTTGGCATGGTGGAAGATTATGAAGATTGTGATTGGGTCTAATGGAAGAAATAGCTCAGAGCTCAATGAAAAGATGCACAGAGCACAAAGGCATGAGGGAACAGACCAGAGATTTGGGGGCCAAATCCAGGAATCCTGATGTGCAAACAATAGGAGTTCCCGACATAAAGAAAATGCTGTGTTTGCATATGGGAGGTATTGAGCACATTCCCAGGCAGTATGGAAGGGAAATACTATAGTAAAATTCTTCAACTTCACGGAGAAAGAGGACATTGTACAAGCTCCCAGATGGATAATACAAGTTATCTACCAAGGAAGAAGAGCCAACTGTTCTCGAACTCTCCCCCTTAACACAGGCACATTATCTGCCACCTATGCCCAGCCAAGGGACAGTCCTCATACCTGGAGAGGGAAGGTAGTCACTAATGGAATGGAAAAGTACTAGAATTTCCAAATTACCAAAGAAAAATTAAATGAATGGCATCTTCTTAAAAGAGAGAGGGAATTCCCTGATGGTCCACTGGTTAGGACATGGAGCTGTCACTGACTGGGACCCAGGTTCAATCCCTGGTCAGGGAACTAAGATCCTGAAAACTTCGAGGTGTGGCCAAAAAACAAAGAAAGAGAGAGAGAGAGAGAGAGAGAGAGAGAGAAAAGGAAAGTTATAAGTTAGCTGTATGAAATTGCTAGTATTCAACTGTTTTGACCTATAAAAATGGTAGTTTCGAATAGCTCAACTGAATAAAAAGATGAAACCACAAATTAAAAAAATAAGAAAGTAATTACGGAATGAGCAAAGTCAAGCATATTTCTCATACTAAATAGGGACACCCTGAACCCCCTTTAAAGACCTAGAGACTGGGTTAGAAAAACAAAACCCTGCCACATACTATTTATAAGAAAGACACTTGAAACCACAAGAAAAGAAAAGGCTGAAAATAAAGGAGTTGGCAAAGAGTGAGGTCAGGCCAGCACAAACTAGAAGAGAGCAGGAGTAGCCAGTGACATTAAAGAAGGTAGGATTTAAGGTGACAGGCATTAAGCAAAATAAAGAGGACCACTACCTAACAAAGGCACAATTTATTAAAAAGATATGAAATATAAAATAATCATAAGTCAACATACACCAGGTACTAAAACTTTTTTCTTCTTAATGAGGAACTAGACAACATTGGCATTAACACTATTATTATTACACATTGGCTTAGAGTTCTAGCAAATGTAATAAGGCAAGAAAATGAAATGTTATAAATATTGGAAAGAAAGAGATTACACACTATCTCTTTAGTTAATGCCATGATTGTAAATCTAGAAAATCCAAAGGCCTTTCTTGAAAACTACTACAATTAATAAGAGAAAATTTAAGGTGATAAATACAAGAAAAATATATTTTAAATAATAGCGTTTACTAAAAATAAGCCTCTAGAAATAAAGAAAAACAAGAAAAACATTCAATTGATAATAACTAGAAACTAGGAATAAATTATTAAGAAAAGTATAGGAACTGTATAGGTGGAAAACCTATAAAATCTTATTAAAGGGGACTTCCCTGGTGGTCCAGTGGTAAAGAATCTGCCTTCCAATGTAGGGGACCCGGGTTCGATCCCTGGTCAGGGAATTAAGATCCCACATGCCCTGGGGCTTGTGCCACAACTACTGAGCTCCTGACCCTCAACTAGAGAGCCTGTATGCCACAAACTACAGAGCCCACCCACCCTGGAGCCCATGCGCCACAACTACAGAAGAGAAAACTGCCCGCCACAACTAGAGAGAAGCCTGTGCACCGCAAGGAAAGATGCCGCATGCCTCAACAAAAATCCCGCATGCTGCCACTAAGATCCCATGCAGCCAAAAATAAATAAAAAATAAGTCTTAAAAAAAAATCTTATTAAAGGACATGAAACCTATAGAATATTACTAAAGGATAAGACATGAACAAGTGGAAAGACATACTAAATTCATGATGTGGTGTGTGGTCCAGATCTCAGCCCTCAGCTGTCTCCCTCTGAAAATGGACCTTGGCAGAAGGCAGCCACCTCACCCAAGGTTAACCACCCCACTCTGAAGGTAACCTTCTGCCCTCCTAGCTACTACTTCTCCTGCAGAGGTAACCACTATTCTGACTTCCGTTACCATGGATAAATTTTGCACATTTAAAATTTCATATATATTGAATTATACAATATGTACTTT